GGCAAAAAGATCAAGTCATTTATTAAGGAAAAAAAATCATACTGGCCTCAGACTGTTTAACAATACTACTTCAAACTAGAAAACAATGAAGCAACATATTTAAGATACTGAAGGAAAGAAAATGTGAGCCAAGAATTTTATATCCTGCCAAACTGACCTTCAAGTTTAAATGCCATAGGCAAATATTTATGAAGATGCAAGAACTCAGTGTATATTGTTCCCTTGAGTGCTTCCTAAGGAGTCTACCAGATGTCTATAGAAGGAACCATAGGAGAAGCTTTGGCATATGGTTGCTGCTTTGTAAATGATAATTAGTGACACAGATTATGTCATTGCCCCTCTGTGTGGGTTGTGACCATTCTCTATTGGCACTTCTACTTTGAACTTAGCAGACACAGAGTCACATAAGACCTCCATCCAGAAAAGGAGTTTACAAATGATCCTACCATACATAATGGGTGGAAAAAGTCAAATATGCCTGTATCATTAGAGATGTCTTATGAGCAGTGATTGGCAGTTTTTTAACCATATGAGCAAAAAAGGCTCACATCGTGGTTTAATAAAAACTTGACATTGATTTTTATTATATGGGAAAGTCCTAGATGATGATTTGACTTGTTTTAAAAAATGATAATTTGGGAAATGCTAATTTTAAAATACTTGTTTCAAAAGCCTACCAAAAGCTTTCTCTCTACTGAAAAATAATAATAATTAGGACTTTCTGTTAAAGATGACAATAAAGGCATTAAAAAAAAGTTTCATTCCCCTCCTTTGAAACCCAACAAAAAACCCACAAAGAGAATGAAAGGGAACACTCTGTCTTCAATGAACAATGAAATGGCCACAGTCCCAAACTATAAATTATGAAACACAGCTGCCAAACACCATAAAATCTGGACCAAAATGAGAGGGAAGGCTGGGAGCTGACACATATTTCCTCAGGCGCCAGGCAAGATACAGGTTTCCTGGGAGAAAGTGTGGCAGTCCTGGAAGGCCTGTTCAACAGATCTTGAATTACAGAGACTAGATAGAGGACCATGAACTTCCCCTGAAAAACCTAAGAATGTCTCAGCCGACCCGTGGGGAGAGACAGAGTTGAAGGAGAAGCCATGTTTTCATGTCTCCTCACCAAGGAAGGCTGCCAGCGCTGAAGTGGTGTCAAAGAAGTGATGGCAGCAGTTGCTGGATTATTACACAGTGAGCCAATTATTTAAGAGGCTCTTTTCTTAGTCACACTAACCATTCAAATGCCAAAACCATTGAAAAGAGATGTGGGTAAAGGAAATAGACTTGGTGACAGAGTGTTGAAGACAGCAAACTGATGTAAACTGCCATAGCTCATTCCCCACGCCCATGTTATTCACAAATAGCCAGCTGCATTCAAAGCACCAGCATAAAACCTATGCATCAGAACCAGGGGAAAAGATCGAAAAATCCCCAGGGTATGGGGAAAGGAGCATAAAGCGAGTCACATGAACAACATAATAAAAATATTCCCCAGAGAAAAGCTCTAACAACTAGGCTCTGTATTCCCAAGGAAATTATAGTCATGGTGTCTAGGGGGAAGAGAGGCTTAAAAGTGAGGTCTGAATTCAAAAAAGACATTATAAAACAGTAGAGGTAGATGAAAAGACAATTGGAATGGTCAGCCGAAAAACCAGAAGAGAAAAGTAAAAGAATAGCAGGCACAAAAGTTACATTACAAACAACAACAATGACAACAAAAATAAAATGACTGAAGACAGAGAGATATGGTATACAGGCTGTAATAAATTATATAAAATGATATGGAAAAGAGCAAAGATGTAAAATTGGTTTTTAGAGGCAATGTTGGATATGGAAGACAGACAAAGGAGATCAAACAATTGGTATTTGTTAAGAAGAACAAAGCAAATGGAACAGAAAAAAATTCAGAGATAAATTAAGAGGAATTAGCTTTCTTTAGTTAAAGCTTTTATTTGCAAGTCATAATGGCATACCACGTGCCAAGAAAATATAACCCACGAAGACATAGCCAGCATAAGGCGCTGAACTTCATGGATAAAGAAATAATCCATAGTCCTCTGAACAGAAAAGGCAAACAAATAACAAAATTTGGCCTCACACATCTTCACAGGAGCATTCAGTGCAAGAAGACAATCAAGCAGAATCTACACAATTCTAGAGTAAAGAAAGTATGACCCAAGAATTTTCTCTTCATCCTGATTTCTCTTCATGTAGAAAGGTAAAGAGAATACCATTCTGAAAAGCCCTTCTTGAAAAACCTGTAGGGCCAAGATGAGGCACAAAGATGACTCAAAATAGAGAATCCAGGAATTAGATCGACTTTGATTAAAAAAATGGAAGATGAGTAATGAATTAATTTTAGTATAAAGACTAATCAATTAGCAATTGCACTTCAGAGCAGAATGTAAATATCAGAAATCTTGATATTATCTAAATAATATGAAAAACTAATTGGAAGATTGGAGAGGAAAGAGGGAGTAAATGTAAGCATGCTTATTTCCTTATCCTTCTTAGCAGCAAGTCAATAGATAATTTAAGTCAAAATATGTCATTAAAAACAACTATCTAAATCTCTTGTTGGTTTCTTTCATCTATTTTTCTTAATTTTAGAATGTTATTTTGGGAATTAATCACAGTTAAAAATCAGATGTTTAGCATCTCCTTTAATTTTACTTTAATTTCTTTTTTTCCTAATATACCTAATAAAATTGCATTAAACTGTTAAATTGTAATTGCATGTACACACAGTGATTATCAAATGTTATTTTATATATAGCAGCTTAGGTGATTTAAAAAAAACTTCCTTTTTATACATTTCTGTTTCTTGGATTCTTAATAATGGGTAGGTATCATTTTTTTAAAAAATTGAAATTATTTGATTATATAAACAGAGCTAAAAATAAATTAGACATCAGTTACAATGCCAGAAATAAATCTCACACTAATAAATTGCTGGAAATTAATTACTATCTCAGGAAGAAAGAAAGAAGGGAAGGAAGGAAGGGAGAGAGAGAAGGAAAAATTAAAAGAGAGAAAAGAAAGGATAGGACAGGAAGGGAGGGGAGCAGAGGAAAGGAGAAAGGAACTCTGTATTATAAAGATGTTCCAGCCCAGGAAACGGCTTCCATCTGGACACATCCGTACTTGAAATTCCCTCTAGCTTCACCACGTGAGACGTCGCTGCCGTTGGCTGGATTTGCGTGCTCGTGCTCCATTTGACGTTATTACACGACTCTCATTGCAGTGTTCTGTCAGTTGTGGTGCTGGAGTCCAGAGAAGAAAGCAGGTGTGTCAAAGGCTGACAGCCAAAGGCCGGCGCGTTCCCCTCGGTGAGATGATGTGCAGGGATCTGCCAGGGCTCCCTCTTGTGAGATCTTGCCAGATGCCTGCATGCAGCAGTAAGTATGTCGTGTCTGTGCTTCACCAAGATACGCTGGTTCTGCTAATTTTGTCCCGATGTCTTCATTTTCCCTACGTCAACTGTATTTTTCACCTGTGGGTAAAGCAAATCAGGAAGAACTCAGAATTGTTTTAAGCAGCAAATGGTAGAATGTGAAAGGCCAAGATATAGTTCTAAGAAAAGTCAGTTTTAAGTAATGTCCACCCACTTAACAAATGCATTGTTTAGGCTCCCTCACTTCGATTTATACTTCCTTATATCCCCCACATTCCCATGATTTCTTCCACTTAGAATTCATGAGTGTTCTCTGTAGATGTTAACCTGAAATACTTGCTGGTTTACTTTGCTAGTAATGTATTTGGATTCATTCTACTAAAAGTAGAAGAGCTAAGTATTTTAAAGTATTCAAATATTTTTTCTTGTGCATAATCTAAAATAAGCAAGGATGAAAACGTGGAGTATCTTTGGTTTAAAAAAATGGCACTTTGGACATCTCTTCAGTTAATTATAAACAATAAGCTTACTATAAAGAGTCATTATGATGGCTTCATTGTGTCCAGACTAACATGCATGTAGCATTCATCTATATTTTCAGTGTACATGAGAGAATATACATGTACAAGTGCATATATGTATTTCATGTAAAGGGTCACAATGAATGGGTTGAGGGCTGCCCCTATAGTGTATAGCATACGCCATATAGAATACAGCATATAGCATGTAGCATATAGCATACAGCATATAGCATATAGCATAGCAGTAGTGGGGAGGTGGAACAGGTACACTGGGAATAACAGCTTCTGGGTCTGGTTATTGCTTTGCTCTTTCACTATCTTTAATTATTCATCTGTAAAATAATAATTGCTACCTCAGGTACCCTCCTGAACTTATGGATTTTGTCCCGATGTCTTCATTTTCCCTACGTCAACTGTATTTTTCACCTGTGGGTAAAGCAAATCAGGAAGAACTCAGAATTGTTTTAAGCAGCAAATGGTAGAATGTGAAAGGCCAAGATATAGTTCTAAGAAAAGTCAGTTTTAAGTAATGTCCACCCACTTAACAAATGCATTGTTTAGGCTCCCTCACTTCGATTTATACTTCCTTATATCCCCCACATTCCCATGATTTCTTCCACTTAGAATTCATGAGTGTTCTCTGTAGATGTTAACCTGAAATACTTGCTGGTTTACTTTGCTAGTAATGTATTTGGATTCATTCTACTAAAAGTAGAAGAGCTAAGTATTTTAAAGTATTCAAATATTTTTTCTTGTGCATAATCTAAAATAAGCAAGGATGAAAACGTGGAGTATCTTTGGTTTAAAAAAATGGCACTTTGGACATCTCTTCAGTTAATTGTAAACAATAAGCTTACTATAAAGAGTCATTATGATGGCTTCATTGTGTCCAGACTAACATGCATGTAGCATTCATCTATATTTTCAGTGTACATGAGAGAATATACATGTACAAGTGCATATATGTATTTCATGTAAAGGGTCACAATGAATGGGTTGAGGGCTGCCCCTATAGCGTATAGCATACAGCATATAGAATACAGCATATAGCATATAGCATATAGCATACAGCATATAGCATATAGCATAGCAGTAGTGGGGAGGTGGAACAGGCACACTGGGAATAACAGCTTCTGGGTCTGGTTATTGCTTTGCTCTTTCACTATCTTTAATTATTCATCTGTAAAATAATAATTGCTACCTCAGGTACCCTCCTGAACTTATGACAAAAGAAAAATCAGAAATGAAATCTTCTTATATTTTAATGTTGCTTAAGGAAGAAAAAACAAATATATATATTTACCAACAATTTTCCATTTACCAACAATATATGTTCCTATAAATAAGTATATTGTTAGTAAATATACATATTTTTTATATATATGTGATATATATTTGGTAAATATACATAAATGTGTATATGTACATATATATATTTACCAACCATTTTCTTGGAGAAATTTATGAAGCAAAATAAGAAAAACATTAAGTTTTAAAAAAAACAGTAATAACATTTATTGAGCACTTCCAGTGTAGAGTTCCTGCATGCATTGTTTCATTTGGTCCCCCCAACAACATTGTGAGACAGGTATTATCCCCATTTAGATATGAGGAATTCAAGACTTAGAGGGTCTGAGATTTGCCCAAGGCTCCGTAGCAGCCATTGGCTCCCACACAGGACCCTTTGGCCTGTTTGACCACAAGTTTGTCTGATTCCTGAGCCCATGCTCTTAGCTGCCTCTCTATGCTGATTCATGGACAACATTAACATTTTTTTAAATCTGGGAATGATTTGAGAACAAATTTTCAAAATCTTGAGACTCCAAAAACTTGAGATTCCAAGGGTTTAAAGTATCCTGGAATTCAGGAATGTCTGTGGCGTATGGTGCACCATCGTGCTTCATTAGAGCTGCTTATCTATCTGATTTTTATTCATTGTGGATAGTTGCATAGCAGTGTGGCCAGACTGTAAACTGCTTAGAGGAGAGTGAAATTAAAGTCATACTGGCAACTTCCTCTAAAATAATAACAGAATAACATGTGGGAATACATCGTGGTTATTAGGGCATGCAATGTGGTGCAGGATGAAATTATAAATTATTATGGCATGCGGTGGAGAGCACAGTAAAATTATAAGTTTGAGGGAGAAAAAAAATACAGTCATATTTCTTCTTTACCCCACCCACTCCCAAGCCTGCCAAACATGTAGGTCTTGGAAGCAGACAGGAGACAGGAACACATGCTCCTAGCACTGCCAGGTCCCCCTGAGCTGGGCCTCCACTTCAGCTGCAGTTGGCCTCCTGCCATCCCTTGGATCACTGGCCCTTGCTTGCTGGAGCTTGGCTTCTCCCTCTGCACTGTCATGTAGCATCTCTTCTCCCTGCCGCCACATCACAGGCCGAGCGATGAGCATGGCGTCCTCCCATCCGCTCTAGCCTGCTGTCTCTGCACCACTTCCCCGCTGTCATCGTGCACTTACCACTTAGCTTGCCCTCATCGTACCTTCAAAGGCACCATGTGCAGACCTATAAGACATGCTCTACCTTTCTCCAGGACATGCCACCGCCACCAGGTCCACTCTTCCTCTCCAACATTTGCCAACGTTTATGTTGCTGACCTTTCTAATAGCTGATATCCCAGTTTTCCCACCTTGTCATTTCCATTGACCCCAGCACCTCCGCATGGTGACACCTTAGACTTCCTCATTGCTGGGCACTCAGAACTAGCTTCCTGCTCTTCTGCTTTCCCCCATCGCACGCCTGATTATTTAGTTAATGCCTCACTATGACCTCTGCTTCTTCCATACCTCCCTGTTGTCCCCAGACTTTCTGCTCTTGCACTAGAAACCCCTGCTCTTAGCAGGCATTCCCCAGTCATCCACTTAACCAACTCTATCGCCAGATCAGTATACCCTTCCTTAACCTGCTGCCTTGATCCCCTGCTTATCTTCAGCCCTGGTGTTATTTTTCAAGTGATCTGTTTGTTCTTTTGTTCCCTGGCCTAAGCTACTGTGATTTGCTAAAGAAAATAATATCACCATGCTGATAGACATATTTCATTTAGCTGGGCAATACTGTGTTTTTTTCCCCATTTCCTAAGAATTCCCTAGAAATTCACCATAGCAGCTAATTCCTAACCACTGCACTGACTCATTTCTCTGCCAATGGACTTGTCTTCTATTCCACTAGGAATATCAAGGCTACCATAGTGTAATGTCCTTCTGATTTTCCTCTCTCCTTTACCTCAACTCTGCCCCCTCCCCAAACAGGAAATGTATGGTCTTCTTAATAGGTCTAACCCGTCCTCTAAGGAAGGTGGTCTGAAGACACGAAAACCCACGCCCAGTAGTGCTGTGATCTTTATTCCCTTCCAAGACTTCACTTCTAGAAAATGTGTCCTAACTGGTGCCTGAGGTTTAAGTAAAACCCATCCTCTTTGGTGGTGCACTGTATCCCGCATGGTGACACCTTAGACTTCCTCATTGCTGGGCACTCAGAACTAGCTTCCTGCTCTTCTGCTTTCCCCCATCGCACGCCTGATTATTTAGTTAATGCCTCACTATGACCTCTGCTTCTTCCATACCTCCCTGTTGTCCCCAGACTTTCTGCTCTTGCACTAGAAACCCCTGCTCTTAGCAGGCATTCCCCAGTCATCCACTTAACCAACTCTATCGCCAGATCAGTATACCCTTCCTTAACCTGCTGCCTTGATCCCCTGCTTATCTTCAACCCTGGTGTTATTTTTCAAGTGATCTGTTTGTTCTTTTGTTCCCTGGCCTAAGCTACTGTGATTTGCTAAAGAAAATAATATCACCATGCTGATAGACATATTTCATTTAGCTGGGCAATACTGTGTTTTTTTCCCCATTTCCTAAGAATTCCCTAGAAATTCACCATAGCAGCTAATTCCTAACCACTGCACTGACTCATTTCTCTGCCAATGGACTTGTCTTCTATTCCACTAGGAATATCAAGGCTACCATAGTGTAATGTCTTCTGATTTTCCTCTCTCCTTTACCTCAACTCTGCCCCCTCCCCAAACAGGAAATGTATGGTCTTCTTAATAGGTCTAACCCGTCCTCTAAGGAAGGTGGTCTGAAGACACGAAAACCCACGCCCAGTAGTGCTGTGATCTTTATTCCCTTCCAAGACTTCACTTCTAGAAAATGTGTCCTAACTGGTGCCTGAGGTTTAAGTAAAACCCATCCTCTTTGGTGGTGCACTGTATAGTCTAATTACACCCCCTGCCTGCTTCTCCCCAAACATTCCTACAAAGGTAATCTGACATTGTGGTTAAGCTAACTCACTTGATGCGGGTGCAGCACCGAGGGTTGCGATCCCGTTGTCGGTCCCCGGTACGGGCGCGACACCGAGAGTTGCGATCCTGTTACCGGTCAGTAAAAAAGACAAAAAAGAAAAAAAAAAAATAACTCACTTGAGTTCATATCCTAGTTCTTCCAGTACTTCATCATGTGACATTGGGCAAGTTATTTACCCTCTGTATATATTGGGCAAGTTATTTACCCTCTGTGAGTCTCAGTTTTCTCCTCTGTAAAATGGAAAAAGTNATTGGGCAAGTTATTTACCCTCTGTGAGTCTCAGTTTTCTCCTCTGTAAAATGGAAAAAGTAATTGTACCTGCTTCACAGGATCGTTGGGAGAATCATAGAATCATACCTACAAAGTGCTTAGACGCAGTGCCGGGTGCATACTAAAGGCTCAAAAATATTGGTTATTTTTAATGTTATCACCACCTCCCTCTAATTCCTATGATAACTTTAAGATGGAATAAAATGTAATAGAGTAACTTATGTTGTATCTTCTGGCCTAATAAGGTCTGAACTTGCATGGAGTAGGTACACCTCTGTATGTTTTGTTTTTCTTCTACATAGGTTTCAAAAATGTTCATCAGAATGAATTGTACTCTTAGACATGCTTTTCAAATATGTCAGATGTGGATTGTCCTCAAATTGCTATTA